AGCTCTACTGGCACCGTCAGATGAACCGGGCCTCCCTCCGTGGTTGCTTGGTGTAACCGTCGAAGCACAGGCATCTCCTGGTCCAGCAGCATATCCACCTCAGAGGTCCAGAGTCCACTCATCTTGGCCAAGGAGTCGAAGATGCTGTCCAGCAGCCATTCGCACAGTCCCTGAGGCCATGCCGCAGCCAACTCCGATCTCCGCTTTGTCTCCCACTTCTTTTCTATCTTCACTCTCACGGACCCTTCAATCACTTGATGTTCATCCGGATGATGAAGGCACACTATCTCCTGCCATGCCAACACCGAGGGGTGATTTCCTTGGAATGCCGTGGGCTTCTTGTGAGGTTGATGATTCACTCGATCTCGTAGGCCCAACATGCACTGGTCCACAAACTTGGTGTACACTTGTTTGCGCCTATGCATTTGTGGAAGGTTCAAGGCTTCCGATTGTCGTGGCTCTTCCAAAACCACCAGGGCTCCCCGGGCCGTCTGGTAGTGCCAGACCCATTCCACGAAATCCCAACAGGGAAGTTCATCCCTCCTCTGCGCTTGTAGTAGGGCTCGGTCTCGTCTCAGCCTCTGCCAGGCACTCCATGGTCCACATTTGGGAGAAAGTGTGATCACGTCCGGCTGCTGCGCCTCGATCATCTCCTTCAACAGCTGCTGATGGTCCTGTCTGGTGATGTCTAAACCGGTGATGATAATGTCTTGTGGAGGAAGAACCCTCCAGCCTCTCTTCCGGGCTAGGTTCCCCGCAAAAATCTCCAAAAGCACCCAACCATTCCCGGGTGGCGCTCCATCAGGCGGATCCCCCAGGGCCTCTTGGAACAAGGCATTGACCTCCTTAGCCCGCTGAAGGCCCCGAAGCACTGTCGTCCGTTGACCCCGGTTCAAAAGAGTCTCCACCGGGTCAATGGGACGAGAAGAGGGTTGCGGACGGTCCGGAACCACCGGCTCATAGGTCTCTGGGTCCTCGAAGTCCCCCACAAAGGATCCGCTCGCGCCGTCGGGCTCCACCATCAAGTTGTTGCTCGTGCCATCGGAGGACTCATTCATGTAGGTGCCTGCGGGCGTGGCCTCTTCCGTTGTGTCCATGAGATTCGGGTCACTCACTCCCGGTCCACATCCGCTAACCACCAGGTCTTGGGGTTGAAACACAACTGCCTGGCTGCTCCGAGATGACCCCAAAGGGCGGCAAGCTGACGGCCGTGAAGCGCCATCATCCAGCGGGGGTTGCGCTTCCACTTCAACGGCCGCCCGGACTGTCCTCGTTCCTTCTCGACCGCCTGCTTCACCCGGAGCATCAGCAGTAATGTCTTCCATTTGAACACTAACATCTGAGCTTGAAGACTGGCCATGATGTTGAAGGTCACATCCGCGGAGAACTGGCACGAGAGGGTTGGGAAGTTGGCCAAGTCTCCTGTCAGCGCGGCTTGTCTCTGAGCCTTCTGTGACGTGTTCTTCTTTTTCACGGAGGGCTCCCGCTGACTGCTGCTTCCCTTGCCCCGAGTCTTGGCTCCCCGCTGCTCTTCGAAGTCCTCCTCGTAGAGCTCGTCCGGCATCTGCGGATCTTGACCTTGCTTGTTCAACAGACCCTGTGCTGACATCATCTTCTGCGCCAGCTCCATGGCCATGTTCGCCACCATCTGAGGATCTGGGGTGGCTGGAGCGGATGAGGAAGAAGGTGTCGTCCGCCTCACCGCCATCCTCGGCTTGCCCACCTTGTTCATGAGGGGCTTCCTCGTCTTGGGTGAGGTCGATCGTCCGGCCGGCGCTTCCTCTTCTTCGGCCTCCATGCCCTCCTCGGCCTCCAGGCCGACTTCCTCCCATTGCGTGTCCGAAGAGATCTGGAAGGTCTCGGGCGGGGCCAAGGATTGTCGTCTTGACATCCTGGGGAGTGGCCTTCAGTGCTGAAGTGTCTCGATCCACTCTCTGCGACTCGGTCGACAAGACAATGATCTCGGCGTGTTCCGGCATCTCACAACTCTCGACCGGTTTCATGGTGTGATCGAACTGCGTCAATGGCATGATATAGTGTCCGCCCACTCCCGCTGGAGTTAAAGTTTGTTCCAATCCATATGGTCTCACCCGGAGTTTCTTGGACGAGATCATGTGTTGCTCGGTATCGATCATGAATCCGAGTCTTGAACAAACTGACTTGCTCAACAAGGGAGGGCAATTGCCGGACACCACCGAAATCCTCAACATACAGTGTAACGAAGCCAACGCCACTTCCACCACGATGCCATAATGACTCTTCGAAATGTGACCATCCCCAAAACGAAATGACTCTGATTCCTTCACCACCTTAATGAATCTGCCTTGACCTTCTAGTTCACGAACGAGTGCATTGACCCAAGTCGTACCAGCCACCGTTCTCATGCAACCCAGGTCAACAATGATTTTGCTTCCCAGTTCATCCATCGTCCAGTAAAGGTCATGAGGGGCAGCTTGAAGGGGTGGTTGGCCAGGTGGTTGCATGAGACCGGATTCCCTGTGCACCATGTATACTCGATGCTCTGCGGCTCTTGTCGGTCTCTGTGCATAGCTGGCGAGCAGCTCCCATTCATCGGCAGCCACCTGTTGTGGTTCTCGCCCCTGAAATGCCACATTAGCTGAGTATACCACATTGGACGCATGAATCGGAGTTTTCTTCCGAAGTGGGCATTCTTGAGACCAGTGTCCCAACTTGCCACACAAAAAACAAGGGTCAGTTTCTTGTTGTTTCTTGACCCACTGCTTCACATGCTCAGGCTGTTGGCTACCGGCCTTGTCCTTGGTGAAATACTGCCTCATCTTCCTGAGCTCCCTCACCTTGTTTCTAGCCTTGTACTCCTGGGCGTATATCTCAAGCAGTGGTGTCTCACCTGCCTCTGATGCACCAGAACTGGAATTACCGGTGCTGGAGTGATTCTCTAGGTTCTCTTCATCTTCCTCCAAGCTGTCCTCACCAGCCTCATTCAAGGCCGCAAAGATTTCTTCCGCCTCCTGGTTGTTGTCGTCGTCATCATCTCCTTCCATGATCGCCACCAGGGCCTCGCGAAACCTCTTCCGGTTCAGGAATCTCCGCCTCCTTGGCCCGCCTGAAGTCGGCGGAGGAGACATAGCCGGGTTTGACGACAAGGTAGAAGGCGACGCCCCACCCCCCTTTTGGACCAAGTACTTGTCCTCATTGTCCAACAACGCTTCACCGCGGCCAATCGGGAAGTGCGGCAAACCTTCGAGTTGCTCGGCCAAGTCCAGCAGCGCCAAAGTGACCGGCTCCTCGTGCTCCAAGCTTCCACCCGCGGCAGCCTTAATTAAAGCCAAGTCACGTTTCGTCAGCTTTGCTGCATCCAAAAGGTGTCCAACATAGAACTTGGAGCCGACCGTGTAATCGGGGGAGGACTGGTTCTCTCGGCGGTAGATCTCAGCTCGGTTGAGGAATGATTCAATGGACTCACCCGACAAGCGTCCCAAGCGCATGAACTTCTGGCGGCGCTTGTCAACCTTCTTCGTATCCAAGATCTTGATAATTGGGCTCTTTTCCATCGTCTGGCGGATGAGGTCGATGCCATGCTCGGCGGCCACCTCTTGCACAGTCAAATGCTGCACAATCTTGGCCGCTCGCTCCCGTAGCTGCTGCATCAGTCGAGGTCCTTGAACTTCAGGCGGAAGGGATTTCCCTTCCGATGCCAACCAAAACTCGACCGTCCGCCAGTACTCTTGCCATGATTCGCCTGGACGGGCATAGAAGATTGGAGGGTATGAGGAGGACAACTTACTGGAATGCCCGCCAGTTCCCCCTGTCCCTCCTCCATGTCCAGAGCCAGCACCTGAGCCTCCCGCAATGGATGGATGTCCACTCGGGATCAGGCCGGTCGGCCTGTTTGCTGCATCCTTCATTCGTGCTGTCGGTGCTGCTGAAATCGGTGACATGCCATGCACTCCACTCCCAAGCCCGTCACCGTCAGGAACCCCGGCATCAGTACCATGACCTTCTTCGGAATCGTCCCCATGACATTCACCTGAAGGTCCTTGATGAAGCTCAGCGGCAGGAGAAGACCTCGAGGTCGAAAAAGCAGGTCCATTAGCTCGGACATCGGGTTCAACACTGTTGGAGGATTGCCCCGACCAGTTGGTTCTATGTCCTGCACTCCACGACCAGGACGACCACCTGTCATCATCATCCCAATTTCCTCCGCTCCAGTGTTTGTCCCCCGGCGCTGATTCCCAATCGCGCCAACCCCGATGATCTGAGCTCCATGAACTCGCCGACCATGACCTGTCGCTCGCCCGGTCAGAGGAAGCATTGGAAGGAGCGTGCCACCCTGACTCGCTCTCTCCACTCATCTCTTCCCAGTTTTCCCATCTAGTCCATCCCACGAAGTTCGGCCGCGATCCGGTTTCCACAGGCGCTGACATGGCGGCTCGCTGATGATCACGTAGTAGATCTTCTTCATGTCCTGAGCTGGACTCTTCCGTCCTCGCCGCCGCCCAGGGATCAAAGGCAAACAGATGATCATCCTCTGGTGTCGATGCCGAACTCGTAGTCCTGGATGAAGTCCGCCCGGTGCCCTCGTCGAAGGTCACCGTCCGCCGCCGTGCAAAGGGAGCCGGCAGCTCCTCCGGCAGCGGCGCTTCCTCGCCCGCGCGCTCCATGGCCCTAGCTCCGGTGGACCAGGCTCAAGCCCGGTCAAAACCTACAGCCCCCTATCGGGGCTCCGCTACCACTAAAAGTGGACGACGCCACACACCTATTTTCCACCTTCGCTAGAGCCTGAACCAGGCTACGTCCGACAATAACAAGTGCCTTACTAGTGGTAACAAGTGCCTTACTAGTAGTAACAAGAAGCTACTAGTAACAAGT